TTGTTTTGGATATCAATTGAGATAGTGCTTGAGGATCTCGAAAATCTCGCCGTTTAGAAGGTAACTCGGTCGGTTTTTCTCTGGTCAACAGAAAAAAATCATTGCGATATAATTTAAATACCATAATTTTTTTTTAATATTATTACAATCCATTCACTTTATAGTGTTAAAGAGTGTCTTATTTTTTTTACCATTTAAATGTTAACTACGAACTATGTTTAAATCTATTATTCTAGATTCGAAGTTGTTAATCAATAAAGTAATCGTTTTTATGATCACAATAATTTTAAAGATTGAAGTGATTATTCACCATAGCAATTAATATGATTGATATATTAAGCAAATTTTTACTTTTTTTTGATTATACAATACATCGGAATGTCTTAAATAGACAAATAACAGAGAATCATTCTCGTTAAAGAAATTAAAATAAGACCAAGTGTCCGTTTTGTTTATAAAAAACAAAAATAAACTAATAATAATAATTAACTACAATATCCGTCACAACAAAATTATTCTCTATATAATTCTCAAACGAATATTCATTGGTAAAGATTCGTAAAGAGAAAATATTTGAATATAAAATTGTTATTAATTAATTAAGTGTCTTTTGGAGTTTTTGTTCGTCTTGTCAGTTTTTCATTACCCTCATCTTTATCTTTTGAAGTGCTTGCATCGCCTTTATCGGCATCTTTATCATCAGGAGTTTTGGCGTCAGTCTTTTTGTGTAGTGCAGAAGCCTTTTAAAATACGAAGGAAAATCAGTTCAAATTCTCCATACACATACTATTATAATCAAATATTCTTATAATTACCTTCTTTGGTGGTGATAATAAATTAACCAATACTCCGAGAAGTAAAATTAATATGATGACTAATACTGTCAAACCAGCCGCAACTTCGGGTTTTTCTTTGAAAGCTTCCCAAGGATCTTCGAAGAAAATTTCAAGGAATTCGTTGACATGTTTTTGTATGGTGTCGAAAAGTGTATGAGGAGTCTAACCAAATAACACGATTTAATAAAATTTTAAATACAATAATATCAATGTTGAATATATATATATTTGTAGTCAATAATACATACCTCAATATCGTCCTGAGGAAATTCTTTAGCTTCTTCTGCCTTTTCAATATCATATTTTACGCGCCATGTCTCCTCAGCAAGTTCTTGTGCGTCCTCTTCAGAGTGGCCAATATAAATGTTGTCAAACAAAATATTGCTTTGCATAGTCCAGAGTTCAAATCCAACAGCACCCTAATTAAAATTTTTTTAGTGACAAAATATAAAAATATGAACATACAATATGATGTCAAGTAATTAAACTTACGATTTTTTCAAATTTAGAAGGAGTCAAGTCTTCGAAGAAGTCAGGATTTGGAATTTTACGAGGTGCCCATGGACCCTTATATTTTGGATTATCAATCTGTGGAGCATACCATTTTCCTTTATAGTTAGGATTATTTTTGTTTGGACGTTTCCATTCACCACAACCAGGTGCTTCCTCACATTTTGGATTAGATATAGTTGGTGGGATCCAATCACCATCCTCTTCATCATCCCAATCATCAGGTTTTTTGGCTTCTGGATCTGGAATGTTCAAAGGTTCATTATCAAGCCATCCTTCTGGTTTTTTGGCATCCTCATCAGGAATTTCGTATGGTGCATCCTCATCCCTAAAATTCAATATTTGTTAATCCAACTGACTATCTGGAGGCATTATTATAATTCTTAAAAAATATTTACCAATCATCTGGCTTCTTGGCATCTTTTATTTGGAATATATATATTATTATATGATAAATAATTGATTATAGATTATACCTTGCAAAATGATAATGCATAATACATACCAGGATCGGGTATTTTTGGATCATCAACCCAGTCAGCAGGTTTCTTGTCTATATATTTTAAATTTTTAATTAATAATGAATCAAAAAGAAAAAAGAATTTAATAAATTTTT